TCCGTCGTCGTTGTCGCCGTGGTCGTCCTTCCTCCGCCTCCCTCGTCGTCGTCGTCCGTCGTCGGCATCTCGTCGTCGTCCCTCCTATTTCGTCGCCGTCGTCGTCGTCGTTGTCGTTGTCGTCGTCGTCGTCGTCTTCCCTCCTCCCTCGTCGTTGCCATCGTCGGCGTAGCCGTCCTTCCTCCTTCTTCGTCGTTCGCGTCGTCGCCGTCCTCCCTCCTCCCTCGTCGTTGTCGTCGTTGTCGCCGTCGTCGTCCTCCCTCCTTCCTCGTTGTCTTCGTTGGCGGCGTCGTCGTCGTCTTCGTCGTCGTCGTCGTCGGCGTCGGCGTCGTTGTCGTCTTCGTCGTCGTCGACGTCGGCGTCGTCGTCGTCGTCACCGCCGTCGTCGTCGTCGTCGTCGTCGTCGTCGGCGTCGTTGACGTCGTCGTCGTCGTCGGTGTCGTCGTTATCGTCGTCGTCACCGTCGTCATCGTCGTCGTCGTTGTCATCGTCGTCGTCGTCGGCGTCGGTGTCGTCTTCGTCGTCGTCGTCGGTGTCGTCGTCGTCGTCGTTGTCGGCGTCGTCGAAGTCGTTGGAGACGTCGTCGGTGTCGTCGCAGTCGTTGTCGGCGGCGTCGTCGTCGTTGTCGCTGTCGTCGTCTGCGTCGCTCTTGTTGCCAAGTGCCATGTGGTACCCACCGTCACGGTCTTAAGAGGTTTTGCAAACCAAGTTGCGTGTGGGTGGGTGGGATGTTTGCGCGAGCAGTGGAGTGGACAACTCACTGCGAACAGAAATACATTGTCCTTTCTAAAAGACTAATGTATTATTCCCCCCCTCCCCCCGGGCTTATCGCCTCCCCCTGGGATGCTATGATTTCATATATATATATATATAGACTGCACACTCGTCCATCCTAAATATGAAACCATACCATCCCAGCCAGGCCGGGTTCCCCCCCCTGAGGTTCCCTGGTAAAAAAAACACTATGCGGTGACATTTTTCTAACATCACATGTTTCACGAACCCCTTGCAAAAAAATGAAACGAAGTGCACACGCGCGCGTCGTCGCGCGCGCATGCCAAAATCCTATAAAAACCTTCGGTGCCGGAAGGATTTCGCAATCGAGTTCCCCAAAAACATGCAAAACACAGGGTTCCGCAACACTGATTTGCTAAAAAACTTCCGCGCGAGCTCTTGCGAAATCTTGAGAAAACCAGCGGTTCTTCAAGATTTTCACAACAATGCTACTAAACGGGCTTCGCGCGCGCGCATGTCGAAATCTGTCGAACGCCCTTGCGCGTGTGCCGTCGCGAGAATCCTTTGCAAAAAAAATGGGACGAAGTGCAGACGCGCGCGTCGTCGCGCGCGTATGCCGAAAACCTTCACAACCCATCGGTTTCAGAAGGATTTCAAAATCGTGTGTACAATAAACCTACAAAAACCCAAGGTTTCGCGACCCGCATTTTCAACAAAGGCGTGCGCGCGAGCTCTTGCGTCGTCGTCGTCGTCGTCGCCGTCCTCCCTCCTCCCGCGTCGTCGTCGTCGTCGCCTGCGTCGTCCTCTGTCTTTCCTCGTGTTCGTTGTCGTCGTCCTCTTTAGCGTCGTGGTCGTTTCCGTCGTCGCTGTTGCCGTGGTCGTCCTTCCTCATCCTCCCTCGTCGTCGTCGTCGTCCGTCGTCGGCGTCTCGTCGTCGTCCCTCCTATTTCGTCGCCGTCGTCGTCGTCGTCGTTGTCGTCGTCGTCTTCCCTCCTCCCTCATCGTTGTCGTCGTCGGCGTCGCCGTCCTTCCTCCTTCTTCGTCGTTCGCGTCGTCGCCGTCCTCCCTCCTCCCTCGTCGTTGTCGTCGTTATTGTCGTTGTCGCCGTCGTCGTCCTTCCTCCTCACTCGTCGTCGTCTTCGTTGGCGTCGTCGTCGTCGTCTTCGTCGTCGGCGTCGGCGACGGTGCCGTCGTCGAAGTCGTCGGAGACGTCGTCGGTGTCGTCGTCGTCGTCGTTGTCGTCGGTGTCGTCGTAGTCGGTCTCAAGAGGTTTTTGCAAACCAAGTTGCGCGTGGGTGGGTGGGATGTTTGCGCGAGAAGTGGAGATGACGACTTCAAGTTCAGCAGAGTGGATTACACCAAATAGATTGCACCGTCACCGCCGCTCGCCGAATCGCACATATTGAACCGCATAGATTGCACTGCATGTACAGTTATATATATATATATATTGTAGAACATAGACTGCCCAGCATATATTGCACCACACAAATGGCACTAAATAGATTGCATTATATAGATCGGACAGCATAACTTGCACCGCATACATTGCGCCACAGATATGGCACCACATAGATTGCATAACACAGATCGCTTCACATGAAGTGCGCCACAGAGATTGCACAACACAGATCGTACGACACATAGGGAGCAACATAAGTGGTACGCCATAGCGCAGACGACGTAGATTGTACAGCACATCTTGCATCGAATGCATTGCATCACATAGGTCGCACCACATGCATTGCTCCACGTAGATTGCACAACGCACATTGAGAGAACCTCACTGTGCTTGGTCCACGCTGGCTAACATACATTAAGATCTGTACGCGTATATCTGGACGTGTATCTTTCCCCAGGAGTATATACATATTCATAGGTGTACATACATATATGGACACATGAGATTCGCCAACAAGCACTTGCGGCACGAGTTGGCGTGCCTTCAGGCCCTTGGCCTAACCCCTTGAACCTCCATCCTCAATTCCGAGGAATGTGCAAGTGGCCCGGACCCGCAATTGCCATATCTCGTGGGGCTCCTCACGTGCCCCCATGGGGCCCGTCGCGGCTTATCGCGTGATCCGTTCGGACCCAAAGAGGGCGCCGAGACAGGCCAAGCGGGCCCAAAGAGGCCGCCCAAACGGTCCAAGAGGGCCCCGAATCGCCGCACGATCGGTCAGAGACGTCCGAGGTGTCCCCAAGACGGCGTCAGAAGCCTTCCAGGCCCAAGAGCCTTCCAAGGGGGCCCCGAGAGGCCGAAGTCGTTTCCGCCTTCGGAGACTCCACATGTTTAGGGTTATCCACTGTTCGTGCTTCCAACACGTGACGACCTCCCAAGAGGCCACCAAGACCGCCTCAAGACCGCCCCAGAGGCCACCAAGGGCCCCAAGACGGCTCAAGAGTGCCCCACGACGGCCCAAGAGGCGCCCACGACGACCCCAGAGAGCTCCTTCACGGCCCCTAGACGAGATGAGGAACCCGAACCGAAAATCCAAGCCTTCCGCCCCGAAGGGCGCCAAGGAGGCCCCCCGAGGCGGCCTCACGAGAGGCCCGAAGAGGCCCCCAGGAGGCCCCCGCGAGACCCCAAGAGGCCCCAACAGAGAGCCCTGGACAAGCCCTCCGGGAGGCCTCTAACCTGCTTCCAGGAGGCCCCCTTGCGAGGCCTCCACCCCAGATCCCAGCGAACGTCCAAGAGACCTCAGACCCACAACCCAGGCAAGGAGGCGGGACGGGGCGGACGCCAGTAGATCTACTGTAGCACCCCGCCGTTGCGGATAAGAGCGAAGGGGGCGGCGAGGGCGTCGTCAGTCTGCGAGGCTCTGAAAAAGCCCGCAGCAGGCGCCTAACTTTTACAAAGTATGCAATGAGCCCGCCGCAGGCGCCGATTCTTTCGTTAACGCAATGTGGGAGGATCGCGGGGTGGGTCGCGGGGTGGGTCTCGGGTGGGTCGCGGGTGGGTCGCGGGCTGGGTCGCGGGGTGGGTCGCGAAGTGGGTCGCGGGGTGGGTCGCGGGTGGGTCGCGGTGTGGGTCGCGGGTGGGTCGCGGGTGGGTCGCGGGTGGGTCGCGGGGTGGGTCGCGGGGTGGGTCGCGGGGTGGGTCGCGGGTGGGTCGCGGGTGGATCGCGGTGTGGGTCGCAGGGAGACGACACCAACAAACAACAACAACAACAACAACAACAACAACAACAACAACAACAACAACAACAACAACAACAACAGCAACAACAACAACAACAACGACAACGACAACGACAACGACAACGACAACGACAACAACAACAACACCACCAACAACAACAACAACAGCAACAGCAACAACAACACCAACACCAACACCAACACCACCAACAACAACAACAACAACACCAACACCAACACCAACACCACCAACAACAACAACGGCGACAACACCAACAACATCAACAGCAACAGCAACAGCAACGACAACCTTAACAGCAACAAGAACACCAACAACACATACAACAGCACTGACCAACACAATTACAACAGCAACAGTAACAGCAACAGTACCAGCAACAACGACAGCAGCAGCAAAAACAACAACGCAACAAGCAGAATCCTCACTACGGATCTCCACTTCAGCCACGCACCCAGGGACAATGAATGACCGTTCGGCCCCCTCACTCTGATGTGGATCTCGGAAACTTGGAAGACCACAGCGCACAACCGCGCAACCAGAGGAGACACCTGATGTGTGACTTGGCCCTGGCTGCGCAAGCACATCGCTGCCCTCGAGCAACTTCGCCTCGCCACGAAGCGAGACCGAAACCGAGGTTCCCGTTAGGGTCACTTCGCTCTGACCCGTCAACCTGCGACAACCTGTCATCCCCCTCCAGCTGGCGGCCAGCTTGGTATGGTTTGATGGCGTGGGCACGTGGCCCCAAAAAATGCACCGCCACCACCACCTCCCACACCCACTCCCCCTCCCAGGAAACAGGAGAGGAAGAGGCTGGTGGTGGCGCATGCTCTTGGGACCCGCACCCCAGGGGTCTCCCTCAAACCCAGGGGTCGACTTGTCTCGCTTGGCAGCCTGACCTAAGACAGAAGAACATCCTCCAAGAACACGGGACCCTCCGCAGGCCAAACTGAAAAACATTCGAGGGTACCCTTCCCCAGGATGCACAACAACATGGAATAAACACGAAGAGCATTAGGGTACCCTCACCGAACCGCCCTGATCTTATACGTTGGTCTGACCGCAGGAGCAGGACGACGACGAGGACGGGGAGGGTTCTGTCCCCCTCCTCGCGGGCCCTGCGATCAGCCTCCTCGCGGGTCCTGCGCTTCTCCTGCTCCACCTCCTCATGCGCGCGGCGCGCTGCTTCCTCCGCCTCCTCCACAGCGCGCTGCTGATTCTGCTGCGCCTGTTGCCGTCGCGCCGCCCACCCGCGCGCCAGCGCTCTCGTGTCCACGGGCCCCTCGGGCGGGTGCTCGTGGCGGAACACGTTGCGGGCGATGCGGTGCTTGGGACTGGCAGGCCGAGATCCCTTGGGGCTCGGAGATCTCTGGCTCGCCCCGATCTGGTCCAGGCGGTGGGCCTGCATTGCCTCGAGCACCGCCCCCTGCACGTCGGTCTGCGATCGCCTCCTGCTGCGCTCGGGTGCCGTGGGCACCGCGAGGCTGCCCGCGCTGCCGGGAGGACCTTCGGAAACGCCGCGGTCGCGCACAGTCCCCGCCGCGGCGCCGTGGCTGTTCGCCCCCGCATTGGCCGAGGCACTGGGCGCCCGCGTGGCGGCAGACCGCCCCCCGGGGGGGCCCGCGGGCACCACGGCCGCCTCCATGTCCGCGTCCATGCGCGACCACCGATCCGGCAGCGGCTGGCGTGGCGGAGGGCTCCCCGAGCTGGACTGACCGCCCGCCGCGAGCGCGGCGACCACAGCTCTGCCCGCCGCGCCGCCGCCCGGCGCACCGTCGGCCCTCGCGGCCCGCCTCTCCGCCTCGAGCGCCGCGACCACAGCTCTTCCAGCAGCCGTGCCGCCACCTGGCGCACCGCCAGTCTTCCCGGCCTGCCTCGGACGAGGCGGGGAGGCCCCGGCCTCCTTCCTGCCATGAGGCGACGTGGGCCGCGCGGGCCCAACCGTCTTGTTCGCCGCGGCCACGGCCATGGGGAAGAAAGCCTGCAGGGGCTCTGGGGGAGCAGAGGGGAAATCCCTCCTGCCCCCCTTGCCGCCCCCCCCCCCCTGCCTCCCTCTTCACCCCGCTGTTCCTCTCATCCCCCGCATCCCCTTGGTCCGTGAGCAAAGCGGGAGGGCCGCAGGACTGGTCTGAGACAGTTTTGCTGCTGATCCTGCCCCTGCTCCCTGCTGCTGCCTCCCCCCTCCTCCGACCTCTCCTCCTCGGGCTGCGGCTCTGGCTCTCTGCTCCCCCTGCTCTTGGTGTTCTCTTTCGCACGTGCCCGACGCGCATCGCGAGTCCGCGCCCATCGCCGCGCAAGCTGGACACGGATAGTCGCGGCCATGACCCTCACTCTGTGTTCGGGCGACGCGTCCAGAGAGCTGACTCTCTGAGAACTGATCATGTTAGTGAAAAGCGCACGGGGCAACTGGGGTGAGACGTGACCTGCAGCACAAGAGCGATGATGAAAAGAAAACGAGAATACGACCAATGGTGCCACAGTGAACGGCGATTGCGATTTAGGTCTTTCGGGAGTTCCTTTGGAACCGCTCGCCAGTAGTCCCGCCACCAAGTAGCAGCTCGAGGAGAGCAGGAGCCGTGGCCGGGGGTCATTTCACAAGCGCGGACCTCACGTCGCCCCACAGCCAAGCTCCCACCTCGTTCTCAGAGCACGGGAGCAAGCTCGACAAGCGAGCAACGCCCACATCAACCAAGGGGTCGGGGAAGCGGGTTTCGACCCAAAGCGTGGAATGGGGGCCCTGCGTTCGCAGCTTGGCGCGCCTGGACAGAACTTGACCCTGAAGAGGCGATTCGGGGACAGGAATGGCAGCAATCGCACCGGCACCGGGCGAGACAGGAAGTCAAACGAGGCGAAGGGGGAGGCGACAAGGTCGGTCCCCAGAGGCCTTGGGAAAGCGTTGGCGGCAGCCTCTGAGAATTCAGCGAACGATGGCTGGGCCCAAAGTCTGGGACCACGCAGCCACGCGCAACGCGGCGAAAGGGCAGGGCGGCATCGGCGGCATTCCAAAGCGGAGGCGTGAGCTCACGCCACGGGAAGATGGCATGGAAGCTAGAGCGGACCAGAGCGGCAGGCGATGAGACGAGCAAAATAAAGCATCGGGGCCGCTCCAACGCCAAAGATTGAACCACGCGCCGCGTGGGATAGCACAATGGGCTGCGTGCCGCAGTCTGGCGAGGAGAGCGGATTCCCGAGGCAGCGCCGCGGCGGGCAGAGGCACGAATGAGGCAACGTAGCTCACAGCGGCGACTGCGCGAACGCCATAAGTATTTGTGAGCCGTCGCATGGAAGGGGGCAAGCACTCAGGGCCAGCATGCGTCCTCGAACACGCAATTTCTTCACGGGGTCCATCCAGTCGCGAAGCTTAGACCGCTGGCCAAGCCACGCGCCGAGGCACTTGAGCGAGGGAGCGCTGGAGAAGTTCTGTCACTCAAGAACGTGAATCTGGAGCCAGCGACGAGAGTCGTCCACTAGCTTTGGCAAGAGGCGGCCAGGCAGCGGGGCGGTGTGGCACTCGGTCGCCTTCAAGATGAGAGTGGCCACCCGCTCGGCCACGCGGCGCACTCCCCCCCGCGACCTTCATTGCCTCGATATTCTTGTGGGCCGCGCCGACGTCGTCCGAGCAGGCGCCCAAAACGCCCGCGCCACGGGCCTCAACTGAGAGGGGGGATTCCCTGAGGAAGGGGTCGGCCGCAATCGCGAAGGGGGCGCCTGGCGCGGGGCACCCTTGGGCGATGCCGCTGCCGATGACGAACATCACCATGGACAGGTGCATGTCGCAACCGAAGCAAAACACGCTCGCGCAGAGAAGTTTGGGAAATTGCAGCAGCGCGGGCGGCAAGCCAGCGAACTGCCAGACAGAGAACAGCCATTGATGAGCAAGACTTGGGAGAACCCGAGAGCAACCGTAGCTGACCAGAGAGAGAGAGAGAGAGCACGGCTGCGGACGCGTACTCTCTCTCTCTCTCTCTCGCTCTCTCTCTCTCTCTCTCGATCGCAATAGACACCCCTTCCCCCACCTAGACAGGGTGGCAAAGGGGCGGGGGGGGGGGGGCACACGTCTCAACCGAAAGCGGCTGCGCAAGTGTAGAAGCGACGGCCGATTGAACGTTACAGGACGCTGCCTTCTCCAAGCACCCATTGGTGCCGAGTGCACGCGCGTTCGAATCGGCGGAATCCGACATATCTCGCGTAAAAGCAAACCAAGCATGGATATCAACCTCGACAGTGTTGTTCGCGGAGTTTCGCGTGGGTGCGGAGCCTCGCTGGAAATCGTGGGCGCGCATCGGGGGCTCTCTGGACAGCCCCTGAGCGGCGACGCCCGCGACGATGTTACAAAACCGTGGTTTCGAAGCCTCTGCGGGCGCAAATTGCTGGAGGGCTTTGAGCAGCCAGGGGTGGAGGGGTGGGAGAGGGGTGGCACCGCAATCATCGGAACCCTCGGTGGTAAAGCTGCTCAACATCTCTTTGCCTGAAGAGACCATGCTAAGCCCGTTGGCTTGCCGCCACGTTGCACCAACATAGACACGAGCCGAAAACGACGAGTGCTGGAACGCGGCGTAGAGGGGCCCGTCGGGGCAAAGACCAAAATGAGAGGGGCAACGAACAAAATACACCATCCGCTTCAAGGAAGAAAGCATTATATTCGCGGTGTCAAACACGGGGCTGACTCTCTCATGGTACATGCGCGTTGCCACAGTGTCGATGCGCACTGTCTGGAAACTCGAAGACCAATGCGCGGCGATCGACGGCAAGATCTCACCAGTTTCGGCCCGTGCCCCCGCGGTGGGCAAGACGCCGAAGCCTCTTGCGAAGCTTGGTATCGTTGGCATTCTGTTCTGGGACGGCGAATGTCATCAACTGCAGGCAGGAAGCTCGCCCACAGGGAAAGAGCCGTCGTCTTCCGCGAGCGCCTCAACCTGTGGCTCCGAGAAGTCGCGGCCGTTCATGGTGACATGTGTGCCCTTGCCGCTGCGTTCTCCTCATTAGCCTTCAACGCGGGCGAAATTCTGCTCAGGCGGGGCGGCATCCGCAGAACCAGCCGCTGTAGCTTAACCTTCAAACAACAAGAGAAGCGCGACGGGCGAGCGACGGAGCGGCGTTCCCCAGAGTGCCTTGGAAGAGAACAAGGACGAAGAGGCCCCAGGTCGCCCTCCAAGAACTGGTGGGTTTGTTTTCCACCGCCACCACCACAAGTAGGAGGGGGCGCGGGTCCTCCTCCTCCTCTCCTTCCTCCTCCTCATCATCATACACCTTTTTTCTCCTTCTCCAATGTATGGTGGTGGTGGTTGGGAACAAGCCTAGCAGGAACAGCTGCTGCGCTCTGAAGGGGCCTGTCCCCATGCTGAGCCAAAATGGCGACGGACTCCCGAGTGTTGCGTCTGCTGCTGCTGCTGCTGCTGCTGCTGCTGCTGCTGCTGCTGCTCCGCGGCGCGCTAGGTAATTTGGATGACCCAGAAGGGCGTTCAATGGAAAGGGGGAGGTGCCATAGAGGGCAAGTAATGTATTGCACGCGTCCAGCAATACATCTGCGCCCCGGAACGCAATGCACGCCCCGAATGTATTGTAACTCCACAAATCTATTGCACCACCCCCTTGTCGCTGGACCCCCGTCTGGGTCAACCCGACGCAATGTCCCCTGGGGCTTCTGAAAAACCCCGCAGCCTTCTGAGAGAGCCTTCTCCTCCTCGTTTCCCCCCGCTCGCCGCCGACCTGCTGCTACCGCTCCTTCCCCCTCCCCTCGCCGCCTTCCCTCAATCTACCGCCCCATTCCCTCTCTCTCCGTTTCCCCTCTCCTCTGTCTCTGCCTCCTCCTCCTCCTCCTCCTCCTCCTCCTCCCCCTCCCGGAGGGGGAGGAGGAGGGGGAGGAGGAGGGGGAGGAGGAGGAGGGGGAGGGGGAGGAGGAGGAGGAGGAGGAGGAGGAGGAGGAGGAGGAGGAGGGAGAAAAAGGAAGAGGAGTAGGAGGGGGAGCCTACGGACATCGTCGTGACAGCCTTCAGGTGCGGGAGGAGCAGGCGGAAGAGGGAGGCACGGGGAGGAGGACGAGGAGGGGGAGGGGGAGGGGGAGGAGGACAAGCTACGTGCGCTCGCGTCATATCTGACGTCCTACCCCTCCCCCCCATCCCTTACCATGGCGTAGATCGCCTCTCTATCAGTCAGATGTCGTAGCAGGGCATAGCATTACATGGCAGATCATGGTGTTGAGGATCAACGCGTAGCCTGACATAGCACGCCGTGGCGACCCCCCGATTTGGGGAATGGAGCTTCTGCGGCCCAAGCAAAAGAACGAACCGGCACCGAATGCGCAATCACTTCCGATGGTTGTTTCGGCGGGCCATTTTCTAGATTTGGGGGCCTACTTGGCTGGACCGAAAACCATGCCGTGGCGTGGCGCCGGAAATAAAATCTGCAGCGGGAGCACGACTCGGAACGAGCGGAAGCGAGGCCAGCAGCGGGAGCACGATTCGGAGAATGCGTAGCCTGACATGGTACAGCGTGGCGACGCCCAGTTTGCGGGCAGCGAATGTGTAGCTAATCGCTTCCGATTGATGTTTCGGGGGGTCATTGTCTTTCGGGGGCCTATTTGGCAGAACCGAAGCCACGCCGTGGCGTGGCGCTGGAAATAATGACGCCAGCGCTGCGGCGGGAACACGATTCGGAAAGAGCGGTAGCCCGAAAATGAGGACAGCGCTTCAGCGAGAGCAGAATGTTGAAAATACTCAAGCGAAAACCCGTTCCCCGGAATCATGAGCGTCAAAGCCAATAATACGCTGAGGGGGGCCGAATAGTTCTCGGACGTCACCAGGGGAGGAAGGAAGAGTCGTATTCGTATTGTGCACATGTGGAGGAGGAAGACGAGGTGGGAGAAGGAGGAGAAGGAAGAGGAGGAGGAGGAGGAAGAGGAGGAGGACGAGGAGGAGGAGGAGGCAGCCGAGGAGGAGGAGGGAAGGAGGGGTGAAGGGGGAATACCAGGAGGCGAATGAA